TATTCTAGTAAATCCTTAGAATTATGCAAAAGATGAAATTTCTTCTGAGAGTGTCTCCTCCTTTACAGCCTGAAAAATCAATGTTGCAAAGGTTTTCTCAGCTGGCAATGGCTGCAACTGCAGCAATAATGAAAGTTCAAATCTCAGAATGAAGCAATGCTTAGACCATCTGCTGAGTACGTTATATGAATTTTGTTGTAGTTAATAACAAATTTCAAAGCAATTTTTTAGTTAATTAATATGGCTTGATTTAAATCTGGGTATGTTATAGATAAACATTGCATTAATGGAATAGCAAAAATATACTAGCATATATTAGAGATGAAGTCTGCACAGAGGCTGCTATTTTATTAAAGCATCACCTTGCAATCTGAGCTCCATCTTGTATAGCAGGGGTGTGGTTTTCTCTGAAAAGTGCATGCAAGTGCAGTATAATGGATTTTGATACTACAGAAAAATGTCTGTTTTGCTGTAATGTGTGGTATGATATATTTTATACTCATGCAGCTGTTTAAAATTATATTTGTTCAGCAAATCATCCATGGGAAGATGTGAAGATTCCTCAAATGAAATTTGTTCTTATATGAAATCTTATATGCCTTATTTCTGCTTTTCAGTAGTTCTAGCAGTCCATTGTCAGCTGCATCAGTAAAAACATACTTGCATTTTGTCATGTGTAGTATTTTTAAATACTTCTTACTCTGAGTGGAAAAGGTGATTGTAAAAATGAATGATTTTAAATTTCTTAGTGGTTGTTGTCGCTCTAACATTTCGATCTAACATTTTGATGCTATTTTCAAGTAACCTGGAGCTGAGTTTTTTTACCAGCAATAGGAATTTGGGTGCAGGTGTGGTTGCAGAGGGCCAGTGCCCGGGTCCAGGGCCGCAATGGGGTTCAGATCATGGTCTCATGGTCCCCTGGGACAGGTCAGCTCTGTGATCCTTCTTGCCTCCGCCGGGCTTTTTGCCATGTGAAAACGCGGACGTCGCTCGCTGAGCTGAGCCGATTTGGAAGCGCAGAGCAAAGCCGGGGATTTGCACAGGCTGTGTGAGGCAGCAGCACACAGCCGTTGGGCCCGGCGCACGCTGCCGGTGAACAATGGTGATGAGCAAGCGGAGTGGGCGCCGCAGCCCCTCCTGCCGCCGCAGCGATGCTGCGCGCGTGACCCGGCCTTCTGCTGCCGTGTGGTGGGCTGAGCTGCGCGGCTTTGCTGCCTGATCAAGCGGGAGATGCCGGGCTGCGATTAGTGGAGAAGCCGTGCACAGGGCCGAGAGGCGTGTGCTTGGAAAATGGAGCTGTGGGAGGCGGTGGCCACCGCGCTGCAGCCCGGCCCTGGAAGGCAAGGGCTGTGCGTGGATGCGGCTGCCGCGCTACAGGAGGGTGGGTGGAGGAGAGGTACCTCACAGCCCTTGTGCTAGGCCTTTGCTCTCTAGGTTTTCTGGACATTTGGCACTTGGTAGGAGGACTCTGACAGCCTGCCTTGACATCAGGCCCCTGGTAAATAATAAATGGCCACTGACCATACGCAGGCGGGCTGCATGTCTGGGGAGTCTGACCTACTTCACGAACCCTGTATGTGTCTGTATTTCTGCCCAGGATTTCACTGAAGCAGGTACAGGTGACCTGAAACAGCATGGGAGCATCCCGGCCCTGGTTGAGGCAGCAGTGCTGCAAAATGGCAGAGCCTCTTGGCAATTAGGTTTGCGCTCTATCTGTTTGGCTCTGTGCTTAGCATATACGTTTGCCAGGCTTTATGAAAGAGTTTATTTCTAAAAGGATTCGCCAGTTAATTGCCACAAACATTTGGTACCTCTGCTCCGGCAAAGGACAAGCCAGCTCTGCTGGGAGCAGGGTGGACGAGGCAGGGCCATTTGCTGGGCACACAGAGGTGTCCATGGGGCACTGAACCCCAGCCTGGGCTGCTTATGTCCATCAGCACCATGCGTATTAATGTATCCTGCTTTGCTTGTGCTCATGGCTTGTAGCAATCCGTAGCATGTCCAATAGATGGCCTTAAAATGGGCTGGCTGGAAAAAGTTCCAGTGAAACGCCTTTTCCGCAGGATTTGCTGATTCACCTGAATCACAATGTATGTCAGAGACTTTTCCACATTCATCAAGTCCTGATGCAAGCTGGGCAAGGCTCCACAGAAACCTGGCTGGCAGCTCGCCAGCTTGGCAGGTACCTGGGGAGCAGCCCGGGAGCCGGGGGCTTTCCATAAGGCTGCCTCCTGGCAGCTCCCCGTGCCGACTGGGGGCAACCTCAGCCACGGGACATCTCAGATAGGGCCTGCTCCCTCTTGCAAAAATTCTGGGAGGTTTTTATTTTTGTCAGAGTAGGGAGATGTTGAGAATTGCATCTCCATAAAGTAAGCTTGGCAGGTACCTGGGGAGCAGCCCGGGAGCCGGGGGCTTTCCATAAGGCTGCCTCCTGGCAGCTCCCTGTGCCGACTGGGGGCAACCTCAGCCACGGGACATCTCAGATAGGGCCTGCTCCCTCTTGCAAAAATTCTGGGAGGTTTTTATTTTTGTCAGAGTAGGGAGATGTTGAGAATTGCATCTCCATAAAGTACAATCATGTCCTTTGCTAGAATTTCTCAGACCCTTTTCTGTGCAGCTAAGCATTCAGTAATCCCTTATAACCTGTAGGGGAGGTTATAATTCACGTAACTGAGTGTTTTCTTGAAACTGGGTTTGCATCCTCTTTTAGATTCAGATCATTCTGCAACTTTTGGGTGCTCTCACAGTAGAATACTACCAGAGTGTTTTAGCTGCTTATATATGAAAATCACATATAAAATTCCTTTGTCTCCACTTATTTTTCTGGGTTGCATTACTATTTTACCTTTTTTTTTTCTTATTTTCCCAGCCTCTTATGTCTGTTTCTTTTCATTACACATCATCTTCTGTTTTAAAAGATGTGAAGCATCTTCATAAGCATGTGTGGATTTTTTGACTCATTAGCAGTGGCAGATGCAGTGGCCTGGTAACATTCCCTACCTATTTCAAGAAGACTATGCTTCACTGGAGTTGGACAACATTAATGTTTTGGGAGGGAACTGAATGAGCTGAAAAGGAGCTCACAAGATGGTAGTATCCGCAGGTCAGCAGGCAGCATAGTGAATCATCGTGGTGAGGAGATGCAATGGCCAGCACAGGGCAGAATAATTTATTACCTCTCAGGCTGCTGATTCACAAATCCTGCAATTCCAAGTGACATTGGAGTGGCTGGGGAGAAAGCAGAGCACCTGGGACAGCAAAATCCAGCTTGAGGACTTGTACTCATCCCTGTCCTTTAACCTGGGCAGGTGCTGGGGTGTAGGTTCATCGCAGTGCCTCAGCACACCAACGACCTCAGACCTACTGTGTACCTGCTCTTTCCTCATGCACTGTATTTAAAAAGTAATTTAAAAATATAGCTGGTTTGTCCCTTGTGTCTTTTCCGGAATGATATAAACAGCTACCTAGGCTTTGAACCTGCAAAACACTGAAGTACAAGCTGTGATTAAAGGAGATGCTCAACATTAGGCTAACGACTGAAAAGTTAATGCTGCAGAAAGACTGCTGTAATACCCCCAACACTGACTTAATGTTTTTTATCTGTAGATTTCAAAAGAGCTCTGTAGTGCTGCCCTGTTTTTTTTAAGATGAGGAAACATAACAATTTGTTTAATTGTTTTCTAAACTGGGAACTTGAGACACACATGCCTTACATGAGTCATGACTCATTCTGGAATTAAACCAAGAACTGAGACTGGAGTGAGGAGTGTAAAACATGGGACAAAATGGAGATTCTTAGTTATTATTTGGAGAAAAAAAGGAATTAGTGAATTTATTGGAAACCAAAAAAAAAAACCTTTTTTTCCTCTATGAATGGGAAAAGAAGGTTCTGACTGCAATAGAGGTTCTCAGCATTCACAATCGCTTGACAAAAACCTTTCTGAAAATATTAGGTATTGATCAAGATTTGTTTCTGAGTAGATGGTAGGGTGCAAGCACTTGTAATGTGACTTCTTGAAAGAGACAACTCAAATATTCCTAGGATTCCTAAGAATATGCAGTGGAGAAATTCGCTTTCTGTAAAATGTGTTTTTTTTTTGCCAACCCAGCGCAAAACATTTGAATTAAGAAAAATGGAAACAGATGACTCTTGTGAACAGTGCCCCAGCAGACTTGATATTTGAACAGTTCTTCACAGATTTTTATTTTTTCTCTCAACAGCACAGTAGCTCTCTCTGATTTATGTTATTTCAGGTAAATCTGTCTTTGGAGACTGCTTTCCCCTCCTCATTCATGGTGTGGAGAAGCAGAGTGGGGAGCCTCAGTTAGTGGCCTATCTAACTAATATGCTTTGAAGTGCGTCTGCAGGAATCACAAACCAGGCAGTAATTCACTTTTCATGCCCTCAAATCTCTGTGCAGAAATGTCCAACTAGAGCCTGGATTTTCTGTTGTGTCTCCGTAACACGGCAGAGGATATGGGAGCTGTGGGCTGGGCATTGCGGCTGCGCTGGGGAACAGCTAAGCAGATCCCACTGAGCTGGCTTGTCTGAAAGCAGCTTCCACGGCCAAGGATTTCTGCATTACAGAGCTCAGCAGTCTCTTTGGCACTTGTCCCTTCCCATCCAAGCTCTACTTCTGCTCCAGGGATGATAAGAATCCCAGGGATGCATGACCATTCCAGTGCTGGGCAGTTCATTCTGGGGAGGGGAGATCCCTTTCCCTTTTTGGCCTCTCTGTTTCGAAGTGCAATCAATCCTCCTTCGAAGAAAAAGTGACTGTGATGATCAGTGTTTCCCAAAAGGCAATTAGAAACATTCAGTGAAGCTATGGTTTTCGCCTCTACTGCGAATGTATCCACCTGAACCTGTGGCACAGATCTATAGGAGTGCTTTGATGTCAATGGCTTTGCATGTTATATAAGCCTATTAGGTGTCATCAGTTCATTGTTTGCTTGTTTATTTCAACAAAACTGAGTTTCTTCCTTTTTTTTTCCCTCAGAGTGACCGACTACTCATTAAAGGTGGAAGAATTATCAATGATGACCACTCCTTCTATGCAGACATATACCTGGAAGATGGACTTATAAAGTTGGTTTAAGTATTGAACTTTTTTTGCACGCCTATTAGTATAGACTCATGTGATTTCTTGATGGTGCTGACATGAAATCTTGCAGCTAGCATCTCGGTTGCTTCTTGATATGGGGTGACAGTAGTTTAATTATGCAGTTCTGCCATTTAATCTTTGGTAACATTAGATAAACAAAAAAAAATCCTTTACTGTAGTTTGAAGGTGCTCACTCTGAACAATTTCTTAAGATAATTGAGCGTAGGCAGCAAAGTAGGATCTCTCAACTCAAGAGGTAATGGTGGGGACTATGGGAAATTTCTGAGTTTGTGTGTGGCGGGAGGTTCATTACTGCATTTTTCCCCCACACCTAAGCTTGGGTGGATGCAGCTGTGCTGTACAGGATTGTGCATTGCTCACGTGTGCTTTTTCTTGCTTAGAAAAGGGTATTTGATCTTTAGTCTTCGCAAAATTAGAAAGCTAATCCTGGTGGCATATCAGGATGTAAAATATAGAATCTGGGAAAGTATTCATTAGATAAGTATGAAAAACACATTACTGATAGCTGGGAAAACAGTAAGAGAGATGTCTATTCATCTGGCTTTACTGATCCTAGACTGGGGTGGTGGAGATGAGGCCCTCCTAGTTTTGGTGGGTCATGCAGCATGTACAAGCACTATGGTTTACACAAGGATCAAAGCCTTCGTTTCTACTGCCAAGCTTTTAATTAGTGGCCTAATCAAGTTTGGACTCCAGAGGCCTCAGTTTAATGCGCAGAAACATAATTATGATTATCTAAGTAAATAATTCATTGCCTGTTTGTTTTCAGAACTGCTTTTCCTAAGCAAATATCATCAGATTGGAAGTCTGTTTCTTTGTATGTCTGTGCTTGCTTGCATCATTCGTGATGCAGGTTATTATAACAGAAAAAAAAAGGAAACATTTTTTCTCCAAGGTCTATGCAGCTATGCAGCTTTCTTCTTAAATGTTCATTCTGGTTTCATTCTCTTCCTTCCTCCTTTCTCTTCCTTCCTTCTTTTCACTCCCTTTCCCTCCCTTCCTTCCTCCCTTCCTCAACTATGTTGTTATCTCTTCATTGGTATTTCAGATTATTTTTTTTGTTTTTATTTGGTCAAATGTACATTTTGAACTATCATTTGGAGGGGACAGATTGGATTTAACAGCTAAGTGCATGAGATGCTGTGAGCCTGAAACTGATGTGATTTTTTGGCCCTCATTTGAGCAGAGCCCTTGCCTTGGTGCTTGCTAGGTTTTTAGCAAGGTTCTTGCTTGGTCCTTAGCAAGGACAAGCTTTCAGGTGTCTGCAGTTTAGCGGCCTTTTAAGTGCATAGCCTCCCTCTCAAAGCCCTGTGTGGATTCTGCCTCCAGGGTAGAAATAAAAAATCTTAATAATGATTAGAGGGACAAGTCCTTGAGTTTTAAAATGTTCGTGTCTTTGCCTAAAGAAGCAAATGGGCTACTCAGCATCCTGAGTTGCAACTGATTTCTTGGATTTAGATGACTTGGGAGTTGCATGTGTGAGAAATCCTGCTTGGAGACCCTCTGTACCTAAGTTGTGAGGACACCTGGATGTGAGCTGGATTTGAGTCCTACCAGTGCCTAGTTCAGAGGAGAAATTCCGCAGTCCAGGAAAGTGCTGTATTTTCTGGGGTTGGTTTCTCTTCCTTTCTCCAGTTAGAACTGCCCATTGCAACTAAATATTTAAGCTAGTCATTAAATGTAGCTTAAAATTCTTTGGAGCAGGATTTTGAACCACGGACATTCACATTTCAAATCATGCCCTAACTCCCCATCTGTACAACCTGCTGATAATATATAGACTTTCCACAAAATGGAACAGACATTAAGCCACTCAGCCAAGAATAGGTAACAGTGTGGCTCTTTTGCAGGGATACAAAAGATCTGGGTTTGACCTCTTATTCTGTCCTGGAAACTAATTGGAAAGTAGAGGGTTGGGTTTCTCTTGCAGATTAATGAGGTAAAGAAGGGTTTTGTATAGTCTATGTACTGACAGATTATTTTGCAGCAATGAATGCACACATCATCTTTAATATATTTGAAGAATATCTATAGTTTTGGATGAATATATAAGATAAATGCATTTTCCTGCTTATCAAGGCTTAAAGTAGCTCCCTTGGTACAAGGCAGAATTGGTGCATGTGCTTTTTTGCTAGCTGAAAACAAGCTCTGTGCAATCAGATGACAGCTGAGAAGCAGTTCTTTGGTATCTAAATAGCAATTTAGATATTTAGTAATTTAAATTGCCACTGGTTCATAAATAATAGATGATTCCTACATCTGTCTGGACTATGTTATCCACATGAGGAAACGAGCCCCGATCTCTGTGCCAAGTGGGAGGTCACGTTGGCTGCTCTGTGTCCCTGCCAAGGGAGAGAGTCGGGTTGGTCTGGGCTGGGGACAGCTAAGGAGAGTGAAGGGGGCAAGTGGGGCTCCAGAGCTGAGCCTGGTGAACCCTGACAGCAGCTGAAATCTCCACTGACCGCTGCAGGAGTTCTTCAGCCTTGTTAGGTTAAGCTTGCAAAGAGCTGAAGCTTGGTCTTTCCATCAAGCTTTATGCATCTTGTAGGTGTCAGAATTTCCCAGTTTGTTTTACTGGAGATTAGAAACTGTAGAGATCAACTTTCTGTGAGTCTGAGTTTTCTAGTTAGCTAAGTGCTAGCTGGTGCATCAGAAAACCGACTCAATCACATAGTGCCTAGAACACACTGACCTGTGCTATCGTGTTTGTCACCCATGAGTAATTGAAACCCGTGCTTATTAACACACACTTATTAATGAGTGAGCAATTCAGGAGTCCTGATGCATTTTCTCTTCCTCTGTGCCCTGCTCAGTCAGAAAAAAAGCCACCGTGGGTGTCGGTGAAGATCAGCCTTCTCTTAGGCTGAATCCTGATACCAGGGCAAGCACTGAGGCTGGATCCTGCCAGGCCATAGCACAGCAGCATCCTCAAAGAATCATAGAATCATAGAATGCTCAAGGTTGGAAGGGACCTCTAGAGATCATCTAGTCCAACCCCTCTGCGCACGCAGGGTCATCTAGAGCACGTGGCACAGGACTGCGTCCAAGCGGGTTTTGAAGATCTCCAGAGAAGGAGACTCCACAACCTCTCTGGGCAGCCTGTTCCAGTGCTCTGTCACCCTCACTGTCCTTAAGGCCATTCCCTCTAGTTCTGTCCGTGGCCACCACTGAAAAGAGGCCAGCACCATCCTCCTCACTGCCTCCCTTGGCTTCCTTTATAGACACTGATTAGATCCCCTCTCAGCCTTCTCTTCTCCAGGCTGAACAGACCCAGCTCCCTCAGTCTTTCCTCGTAGGGCAGATGTTCCAGGCCCCTGGTCATCCTTGTAGCCCTGCGCCGGACTCTCTCTAGCAGCAATGCACCCCAGGATCCCATTGGCCTTCTTGGCCATGAGGGCACACTGCTGCCTCATGGTCAACTTGTCGTCCACCATGACACCCAGGTCCTCCTCCGCAGAGCTGCTCTCCAGAAGGTCGGTTCCCAGCCTGTACTGGTGTCTGGGGTTATTCCTCCCCAGGTGCAGGACCTTGCACTTGGTCTTGTTGAATTGCATGAGGTTTCTCACCACCCAGTTGTCCAGTCTGTCCAGATCCCTCTGGATGGCAGCGCAGCCCTCGGGGGTATCAGCTACTCCTCCCAGTTTGGTATCATCAGCAAACTTGCTGAGGGAGCACTCCGTGCCTTCATGCAGGTCTTTGATGAATAAATTGAACAGGACTGGACCAAGGACTGGTCCCTGGGGGACACCGCTAGCTACAGGCTAAGACCATTTGATCACATGTCACTTCATCAGGGGTGACTTTCTAAGGCACCAAATACACTGGTAATGATTATGGAAGAAAACAAAAGTGAATCACATTTATATTTTTGCATAGGTTTTCTTTAATATTATTATTTTCAGAAGGTATGGTAGTCCTTGGAGTGCTGTTCCAGTTTTAACATCCAGTTTTAAATGAGATTGTTAATAGAATACCTTTTTCCACTGTTTTTTGGTCATACAAACTCTGTATGTGAGGAACTGTTCTGATTAAACTGTTCCTCTGAGAGCGTGAGGAACTGTTCTGATTAAAATTTTAGGAATGAATTCAGAGAATGGACATTAGTGTTGTGCTATTTCCTTCAGTGGAGCCACACAGCTTTATGCACACTATCAGACTGCCCCCTGATCTTGACTTGTGCCCTATAGTAGGTCCTAGCAACTCAGATTTTAGGACCCTCTTGCAGTTTGTGCAACTTGTTGTGCTGACCTGCTTCAGGGCTTCACCATTAGCACTCATCACTGCTGCAAGTAGGGTATGATGTGCTCCTGTGCAATATGTGTTGCTGAATGGTAGACGTTGGACGTGGAATTGTTGAGCTTCATGCTGTGATATTGTCAGATCGTGCTAGCTGCCACTTGAGTATTTTAGCAGTGCACAGTCCACAAGCCTGGATTCTGCAGGGGAGTTTTCTCACTGAATGGCTGTTCTTCTCTCCAGCCAAATCCTGGAGCACTGAGGGAGCCAAGCTACTGGAGGTGACATTTTTGCATAGGATATGAAACAAATTCTTGACCTCTTGTGGCTATTTATTAACTCTGGTACTTTGGCTAAATTCCAAACTGAATAATTCTCCCTGCTATTTTCACTGGTTCTAATTAATGGTTATATTTCTTCTGTGTTCTACCTTGTTGCAATTGGCTGTTAATCAGTTGCTGTGCCTTGCTGTGTAGGTGGGAGTTGCATTTTAATATAAGAGAAACAGCTTCAGCATCTCAGATGTCTGGGGTGTTTATTTAGTTCTGTATAAATGTTATTTCATCCCAGGCGAAAGGAAATGAAGACTCAGACTGTGTGTCAGTAACATAACTAGCTAAATGAACCCTAGAGGCAGCTCCAGCCTCAAATATACTAAGGTGTAGCAATACAGGGATGCGGCTTCCCCAGAGCACTGTATCTTTTCCTATTTGACAGGAAAACATGTGAAGAAGACATAAAATAATGTAATGTGATTTAGAGTTAAAAGTTAATTTACCCTGTATTTGGTTCATGAACACTAAGAATGTTTTCTTTGTAAGTGTCTGGGGTTTGCTTGTTATCAGCATGGGAGAGAGACTAATAGTATTTTCAGTAGCAAGAAAAAAAAGTGCTTTTGGAAAACTGAAGGAAAAAAGATGACAACAGTTAATTAGTATTATTTCTATACCATTATGCAGAACATTTCACTAAGTTTTAACTGTAGGAGGAGGACAAAGAATCTGTGACAAAGCAAAATAGAAGTGTTTGGGTCTCAAATATCTATTTCTGTATCTTAGAAAATGTAGATTTTTTAAAATGGGTAAATATGCATTAGCTGGTTACAGGGTAAATATAACTTCCTTCTGATGTGCCCTGTGTATCTACCATATATTTACAATGTCAGCCTGCTGTCCTTTTGACCTGTGTTTTTCAGTTTGTATTTAAAAACTTAATATATAAAATGAGACATCCCCCTCTAGAAAATGTTAACTATAGGCATCTGTAATTGTTTAAAGATATGACACTTAAGTCTCACCTTTAAGTGTGTAAAAAAAAAATTGCTGTTTTTATGGCTGGTGCATTATCGTGTCTTTACTGGCCGCTAGAGCAGCACAAAGCAGCCAGAGCCAGGGAGCAGCTAAGCAGGTTTGCTAACACTTAGTCGTGCCAGTGCAGTGCAGAGCATGTATTTGAGTTTTCCCTCTGCTTTGTGTTTCCAGTTCTTTCTGCCTCTGGTATAGCCCGTGGTTCCTCTCCCCTAAATGCCTCAAGTAGCTTGTGTCTCCTGTGCTTCTTTGTTTAAGTAAAACAGTATTGCCTTTCCTTGCTGCCCAGGCAAATAGGAGAAAACCTCATTGTTCCTGGGGGAGTCAAGACCATAGAGGCTAATGGGCGCATGGTTATTCCTGGGGGAATAGATGTCAACACTTACCTACAAAAGCCCTACCAAGGAATGACTGCTGTCGATGACTTCTATCAAGGCACAAAAGCTGCACTAGCAGGAGGCACCACTATGATCAGTGAGTACTAAAAAATACTAACTTTTGTCTTCCCATCCCAGGTGGAAGGTCAGGTAGCACTTGAGGGGAAGTTTCCTTCTGCAATTGTTTCACCTTGTTAAAGCTTTGTGGGCGAGTTGTTCAGGTGACATAAATTGTCATTGCTTCCTTGTGGAGAGGAACTGCCTCATAAATTTTTGCTCTCAATGAATTAAGAGATGTGGCTACTTTTCCTGAGTGATGTTATATGCTACTGAACAAAAGTGTGAAAGGATTTCTGGAAACAAGCACAAAATACACTGCTTTTGTTACTAACTTATTCAGTGTATTTTCTTCAGTTGAGGCTTCATATGTCTTTATAGCCAGCTCAGAAATTCAAGCCTTCAATTACCATTTATCAGTGTTTATAAACAATTTCACTTTGAAGCTTGTGTGCCACATTGCACTGTTTAACTTCCGCAAAGATGGCAGGAGACTAGAAATTTCCCCTCTCTTTCTCTTGGCCATGTGGCTCACATATATGATACTGTTTTAAACAGGTGCCCCAGTGTAATCACTGGAAAGCTTATTGCTTTGCTAAGGAAAGTGGCACTTAGCTGGTCGTGCAGTTGTGTATACCTGCATCAGTGAAGCTACTGAAAAAGGTTTTTCTTGATGGATAATGTTTTGAGAGTCATGCTTTTGGTTTGTTTCTTGATGCATAGTGCTTAAACCTTGCAGTGGTTATCCTGCTCACAACTGGATGCTCCTTAATCAAAGCCTGAAGCTCATACATCCTCATGTACAATATAATGTTTGCAGACCACACCAGTAAGCCCTTACTGTGTTTCTTACTTCCTTTTGACCTAGCCCTGTCAAAGGATAACTATATATATGCATGAGTAATCCTGTCTTGTCTTTATGTCATTCAACTTAGTGGGATCAGCAGATGCAGCAAGTCTTAGGACAACTGCAGTGCATAATTTCAGCACACTCAATCTGCCATGTAGTGTGGCAGAGTATTTATGCTTTCTATCTTCTCCGTTCAAATACTTGGCTGTATTCCCAATTCTGTCTGCGGAGGAAGTGTGCAACATCTCCACTTGTTTGCAAGGCCGATTGGGCCAGTTCAGTGGCTGAGAGGCACTGGTTAATAATAGTATGAATTATGAAATACCTGGAAATAAACACGTCAGCCAGTAAATGCGGATAAGCTCAGAACTCGTAGTGTTTAGAGAAGAATAAATTGAAGAGCAAACATTCCCTAAACTGTGGGAGGCTTAAATCTACCCTTGTGTGTCAATTTATTGTACACCGAACATGTTGCCAGGCTCAACTTTAGTGCAGACTGTTCCACAAAATCGGCTACACCTAAGACAGCAGGATGAGGCTAACAATCTGAAATAACAGCGTGCACACAAACTGCTCCTCGGGAACGCTGTTTTGTCCTAGATGCTGGAAGACTAGTTACAGGCACGCAAGAATTGTGACCAGTAAGTAGTCTCGGTAATGGACACTGAATCTCTTTTTCAGTTGACCATGTGCTCCCAGAGCCTGGCTCAAGTTTACTGACCTCCTTTGAGAAGTGGCACGAGGCAGCTGACACCAAATCCTGTTGTGATTACTCTCTGCATGTGGACATCACTAGCTGGTATGATGGGATTCGAGAAGAGCTGGAAATACTGGTGCAAGACAAAGGTTAGTGAGAGAAAACAAGCAGTATTTGTGCTTTTTACTGAAAGGTCATACGGAGGTCAAATTTTCAAGTTTTTTACTGGATACATCAACTAGAAAAGAAATGCATAGGTACAAAATTCTGCACTGCCTTGAACTTCTGTATTCGTATGCTGTGTGAAATGGACCTATGATCACTCAGCCTTGTGAATTAGTGGCTTCAAATTTTAGCTTGACTGGAATCAGTCCATTTATCTGTCTTAAGTTAAGTCCAAATATCAAGGGCCAGATCATCACAAAACTACCATTGCAGGCTGTTGTTCATTTATCACGTTACATTCTCAGATGGTATGTTACATTCTTAGGTTGGAAGTTATTACAAAACATGGCTATAATTTGAAAATGCGTTCAGCGTACAGTGAGGTTCCTAACATTGAAAAAATGTCCTGATTTTCTCAAGTGCTTGATCTCTTGTGGCTTTCCATGAAGTTACTAGAAAATATTTTGTGTCAAGACTTAGAGAAATCAGGTCACTTATTTAGGAATCTATTTAAGACACTTATGGGTTTGGTTCATTTCAATTAATGCTGCCATCTGAGATGCTGCAGGTCATTCTATCTGGTCTCCAGCTACCACTCCAGAATAGCATAGATAAAACCTTCCAGAAAACTTGTCCCATGCCTGCCAGCTCAGTATGAATATCTATTATATGACAGTAGCACCAGCTACCCATGTGTAGGCCACTGAATATAGCCTTCAGAATATAGTAATTTTGATCTAGTTCCTTAAAATTCTGCCTACCACCATGAATCTTCTGTCCAGAGACATATCTTTTCAAATATTTTTTGCTGCTTAAGTTCTTTAAAAGTTTATGGCTATTAGCTAGGTAATATTTTCTGAGACTGTATCATGAGTAAATCAAAATGATCCTAGTGCTGGGAAGTCTAAGTTAGGTGAAAGCAGCCTCCTTTGCAATGTGTAGGACTAGTGAGGAGTTAGATTTGAAAAAATTCTTTATATAAAAAGCACCGTCAAGGTAGAAAAACAAAGTGAAAAATGATCTTTTGAATGGGCAGTTGTTCAAGTTGCTCACTGAGATGTTGCCGAAATGCAGTCACGTATAAGAATTCATCCTGTATTTCAGAATGGTAGCAGTACATCTGATATATAATTAGATTTTAGGCAACAAAACACTTCAATCAGCAAGATTATGTATAATTTGGACAAAAGATAACTGGTCTTACATGGGCTTTTATAATATAGGTGGTTTTTTCAAGATGACGACATCTGCCAATATTGATGGTGCCAAATTTGTGCTATTCCCCTGTTACCAGCTTTGATAACAGGGGTACCCCACTGTGAATTAGCTGAATGATCTATCAGGGAAATATCCAGTGCCTTGTTTCAAAGGTTAGCTGTTATTTTCCAGAGCTCACAGATCACAGATGGCTCAGCACTCTCCCAAATGTGCCTGGGGGCTTACATTAAAAGCCTGGTGCAGACAGTTGGGTTAATAGTTTTCTCCAGCTATTGAAATGTGAGTTTTCAATAGAAATCTGAGCTGCCTTTCACTCTTCATAGGAAATAGAAATCTGTTCTTTGGTTCCTGACCAAGGACGGGTGAGGGGCCCCCATGAGTCTTTGATGGCAATAACATTAGGAGGTCACCTTCGTTGTCATGGATGCTGCAGTTTATCTCCAACCAGTCAAAGTAATTTACTCTCATGTGTTAGGAAACACAAAATAAGGGAGGGCAAGAAAGCAGAAAGACAATAGCAAATATTTCAACATGACAGGAGCTCTCAAATTAATGGATATTATCTGCTGATAATTGGAAACATGCGGGCCAGATCGTCGGTCTTGATGTCAATACACTGGTTTTCATCAGCTGAGAATCTGGATTTAATTTGTTTTCCGCTTATTGTCTCGTGGGTTATTTAGCCAAGCGCAGGGCTGAGTTAACCACGTTTGAATGCTAAGTGTGCCTAGTACTGTCTCAGTATGAATCACACAGGAGCTCACCAAGCTGCTGCAGAGATGCCCCTGTCGTGGGTTATAATTGAGCAATTAATCAGTTTTAAATCGATACAAAGCTAATTTAAGGAGAAAGGCTTTAGAAGAGCTTGGAGATTTTGTAGAACCAAATGTTGATCTTAAAAAGTCATGCTTGTAAATTTCCAGCAGTCCATCCATGATTGGGAATCTCACAAATATGTAAAGGAGCAACAGCCCTGAACTCTGCAGATTCAGGAAGCTCACTCATTCCTCTAACTAACTACTGTGCTTTGTCTCTGCTTGGAAAAACTTGCCTGAAATTTGGAGAGGATTCTGCTGAGCGCTCCTGACACTGAGAACAAGCACCCGCCTAGGATGGGATGTAACACATTAAGCATTACATTAAATCAGTAGTGGATGAGATCTTCTGTAACTCCATCCTTTCCTTCCAGAGACTATATTGAGGATTTATACCTAAGCATTATACATAAGCATTAGGCAAAAAATCTAATCTTGGATATCTAAATATGTGTACTGATTTTATTTTATCTTGGTATCCTATAATAGGACTCTATTTGCAAAATAAGATAGTTTAAACTATGTCTCTTGTTAGCTGTAAAGACAGCCTAAGAGAGGCCTTCTACTTTGTGTGTGTCTGGTGGGGTAGCCAGGAGCAGAGGTTTGTATTAGATTAATCTCCTTCTGTACTGTAGGCACTGTAAATAAAGAAGCAGCTCAAGATCCTGCAATAGGATCCCTTCTGGAATCACTTCAACTCCCACTGACTTCAGGGAGAAAATTCATTTAATTGGGAGCAAAACTCCTACTCTTTTCATCAAGGTCAGAAAAGTGCCTATGATGATGCAAAAGCAACAAAGGGAAAAGGCAGAGAATTTATATTGCTTGAATAAACATATGCCTCCCAACCACAGTACCTAGAAAAAAGTGCTTTATTTCTTGCGAGACCATGATTAAATTAATTGCTTTTGGCTAGAGCTCAGTGGATAAGGAAGAGCAATAGGCAACTTAGTTCTTTGCTCTCAGAGAGATGTATACAAGATGATCCAGCCCCTTGCCATCACAGGGGCTAGTTTGCATACTTTGGACTAACCCGGATGTGTTTCTCTCATTGCTGCATATATGCATAGTCAAACATGCAAAAAGGTGACTCTGAGGTCCAGGTGTGGGTTTGTGAAGAGGAAATAGAGCTTTCCTCAAAGACAGGTTGGACACATGTCCTGCACATCACTAGAGTGGGGACGACTGCTCAGAGGCTGAACCCTTAAATGTTTGTGAAGAGGAAATAGAGCTTTCTTCAAAGACAGGTTGGACACACGTCCTGCACATCACTAGAGTGGGGAACGACTGCTCAGAGGCTGAACCCTTAAAGGGTTCAGAGCACGAACATAGGGACTACATCCAAACTGCGTATTGAGGAATGAGCTGAGTGATCATAGTAAAATCCAGGTGTGGTTCTGGGGAATATGAGAAATAAGAAAAGAAAAAAAATGCTATTCTGTCCAAGATCCGAAGGTCTCATGCTGGGGAAAACTGGCAGCCCCACTGCCTGTGTCACCTGGCAGCACTTGGGCCATGAGTGGCTGCTTGAGGCTGACAGGACTGGTGGGCTCTGACGGCTGTTGCTTGTTTCGCTCCACGTGAACGTCAGCTGGGGAAGACCAGCTTTCACTCTGTGCTTCTCCCTGAGCTGCCGTGGCTTAAGAGAAAGACACAATAACACAGATCATTTCAAGGTTTTATCCTGCATGTAAAGTATATCCTCGGGTGTTTCAGATTGTGAATAAGCAAATTCTCTGCCAGAGTATGAACAACCAAGCCCTCTGCCTGAGGGCATGTCTGCGCATATCTAGACTCATGAAAATGTTACATTTTCATCAGGCAACCTTATTCCTTTGATATAGCCAGTATAACATGAACAGCTCCTTTTCTTTTTTCTTCTGCCCCAGGAAGCAGTTTTCATGATAGCTATTTTGAAAAACAGCATGCATGGATTAGATGGCTTAGATTTATTTTCTTTTAAGCTAGAAAACTCTGATATCAGTCCCTGTACCAACTTGAGAAGGTTGTCAGTAGACTAAGAAGTAAGGCAAGTTTATAAGCTAGTATAATTTAATATGTACTGAAGATGAACATAAGATGCTTGGAGTCCCCATTCCCTTAGAATATGAAGCTGTGTTATCTCTCTGGGCAAATCTTTGAAGAAAATAGAGAACTATTTAGTGATTTGAACACAGCTGGTTTTTGGCCACCAATACTCAACATGAGCATTTCTTACTGATTTCTAAAATCTGGAGCTGTCTTCTTTCACAGTTCCGTATTATTACCAGTGTGAATCCCTCATCTTTAGAAGATGGAAGAAAAGGTGTGGCTATATGAAATTGCAATCAATTTCAAATTTTGAATGGATTGATTGATTCCATTCATTCCCAGTGTCTGTCATCAGCTAAGCCGGGCACTTTGTGCAGCAAGGTCAAGGAAAAGCAAGTCCATGCACAAATTCAGAGAAACAGTTCCCACAGCTTCTCAGCACTTTGAGGAAATTTAACTAGAAGTATCTTGGCTAAATAACTTGTATACTGAAAAACACAATTTCTGGTCAAACTGAAATGATTTACAGATTAGCTAAAGAAACCTAAAAATTTCCTTTCAGGCTGGTGATTTACAAAATTTAAACTGTGCAAATTTGATTAACTCGTGCTTTTTTTGGACACCATCATTTGGCTGTGATTTGGCCATAAGCGAGCCTATGGGCAGGTGAGCTGGGTTACTCTGGGGCTGAGCACAGGTGATCCACAGTAGTCCAAACAGAAAAGAACATTTATGCTTTTAGTTAAAATAACTTTAATACAGCTGTGGATTCATGCTCTTTGACTTATTTTTCTGGAAATTTGGGTTTGTTCAAGTAAGATGTAAGAATCCAATTAACACCTTTATGTTTTGTCTTGAAACAGGTGTGAACTCTTTTCAAGTCTACATGGCCTACAAAGATCTTTACCAAATGTCCGACAGCCAGGTATTATCTCTGACTTCTTTCATTGCTGTGATCTGTCCTCCCTCCTAAAATCTGAGGTTGAACCTCAGGAAAAAATTTCCCTCAGCTTTGAGAAGAGTTAGGGGAAATGTACAACTGAGAAAATTCTTTGGAGGGTCTATTCTAAACAGGGCTGAACTTTCAGTGTTCCTTTGTGTCTATGATAAAAGAGCTTCTGTGGAAATTATCTGGTGTCTCCCAATATTACAACCACTCAGGATTTTGCCTGGGGCTTTACTAAATTTTCTTTAGTTTTGTGATATTCAAGGTCAGAGAAGCAAAAGTAGATGAAGGACTGTAGGCTGTGTTTAGTTTTCAAGAGTTTCTCTGTTGCTGCAGACAGCAAAAGTGTGATGTTCTCTGGGCGGGAGGCTGCCTTTTCTTGTTGGGGTTGGAGATAACAATGAGCTGATTTGTAGAGCCTCATTCCAGATTCCAGACTCTTCAGCTTTCCCATTCACAGGGATCAGATCATTGTAAATGAACAATGGCATCTGTTGGTAATAATAATGTTTGCTTATTCAGTGGAGAGAATGCTTCTTTTTTGCTTATCCTAGAGCTATACTTCTCAGCCTCTTAAATAACTGTTGTTACACCTCCAGTGCCTGTTGTTTTAATTGAAATTTTAGGCATAATAATGTATAAGTATTTTCTGAGAGGCAGTGCAAGCCAAATTCAACTTCCTGATGAGATTAGCAGGAGAAACATCCATCAAAATGTTAAATGCACAGCTAGACAGATGCTCATTAACCTTTTTAAATGTGCATGTCAATCTATGTATTCCTACTCATTTAATCCTACAGGAAGTTTCCTAGTGTGAAAGTAGGGTACTGAAGACATGAGGTCTTCAGTATTTAATCTGTGTTTGAAAACTAGGCTCCTGTATTACTGAATTCTGGGCCAAGCAGGGAGTATCTTAGATATTAGATATCTTCTGTAAAGTGAACTATTTCAGTAGTGTGAGTTTTAAGCAAGGTGTTTTCCTTATTCAGCAGTGTTTCCTTCTTTGTACTACCTGCAGCTTTATGAAGCCTTTACCTTTCTAAAAAGTCTTGGGGCAGTCATCCTGGTGCATGCGGAAAATGGAGACTTGATAGCTCAGGTAAGTGAACTGTGCTTTTTGTTTCCTCTTGTGACAAGATTCACATGAGTTAGGAGAAGTAAATCCCTCCAGATAGGGTATGGGTGGGGGAAAAGGGAATTTGCTAGTGATGGATCTTTCCTGGGTCTGATAGCCTGTACACTATGGGTGCACGCTGTGGGATGGCAGGATGCTCTTCCTCTTCCATGCTTTGGAATAGCACCAGCAAGGCAGAGCAGTGATCCAAGCAGCTCCTGCCTTGGGAGCAGGTGGCAGGCAGAAGGAATCAAGAAGGTGTCTCCTGAACCACGAGGGGCAAGTGAAGCAGAACAAACATTGTAGAGCCTTGCTTGAAGAGTCAGAGACACAGTGAGGCCTGGGAGACTTTATGCTAATGTTGCTGCTGCTGCTGTTAGCAGCACATAAATGACCATAGTAAATTTAGAGTGGGTGATTGAGAGAGCTCTCAGGCCTACTTATTTTTTCGAAGGTGCTTTGAAATCTCTGGAATTTGAGTATAAACCACCCTGATCTTCTAAAACACTTGAAAAATGTGCTTTATAATGTAAGTTGTGCTCTTGGAAAAAAAGCTCTCAGAAGCAGGAAATTGGGCTCAAACTGATTATGTCCTATTAAGTTAGGCCAGTTCCCTGGTGTATGCTCTGCAGGTGAGCTAAGCTGAGTAGCTCCAGTGCTCACCCTAGAGCATGCTGTAGCTGTGAGCTGTGCAACAGCAGATTGAAAGAGGTCCTGAGGACTGAAATTGACAGCAAACCTCCCTGCAGTCTTTCAGCAGCATTGCCCTATAAAACAGAAAGTCCGGATTGGATTGGTATCATTATGAATGCATAAATCTGTGGCAGCTGAATATTGCTGCTGATCCCTTGATCATGTGCTGGCATCAGGGCAGAGCCCCTCTGAGACCTGTGAGGCTCTGAGTGAGTGACTGGTTTATCTGCTGAGCTCTTCATCTGCTGGCTTATCTGCTCAGGATGGGGCTGCAGAGCTGACAAGGAAATTACAGTAGATAAAAACCTGTTGCCTGTCAGCCCTGGGCTGTGGAAGCCACATTGTGGCTGAGCCAAAAAATTCAAGTGTTTGGGGAAGTGTAAATGGGCTATTTTCATACAGGTTTACTTTTTAAATTTATTTCCTGCTTGTTGGGATTCTGTCCTTTACTTATCTGGGAGGAATTTAACACCTTTCAGAGCCTTCTTTCCCACTGTCATGTTTGGCCAAACTAATCACTGGGCACAAAAGGTACTAGCAAGGAATCAACAGGCACATATGGTGCAGTTCTATTCATCCTGCTTTGGAATCAGGTGAAAACTATCATTTGAATTCAAGAGGGAAAAAAAAAGTCAGAATTCCCCAGCAATTAGCAATATTAGATGCTACCAAAATATATAATTTACAGTTTTAGCACAATACAAAATAGAACCAAAAGAGGTAATAATGAACATAATAAATCAATATGATGGTAAAAATGGCAAAAGGAAAGAAATCAGATGGCACCCATGATGTTTTGATATGTTCCCCATTAAAATCAACAAGCACTTGTGCTGTTGCATTTTTGAAAGAAATCTGTTCCACTTTTTCTTTTGTTTTTGTTTTTGTTTTTGATGAGATTTAATATACAGCCATGGAACATGAACATAAAGGAAAGAAGAGTCATCAAGAAAAGAGGGAAGAGGGAAGAAATGTGAATTATGTTATACACTGACATATTTCTTCAGCATTGATATGTTTCATAAAACATATTAACATATGAAACATATGAATCAATTTCTTCCTTATGCTTATATTCAGAAGGATTATTTGGATGGTAAAAGGAAAAAGGAAATCTGTCTAGAGGGATATTTTGAGGGACTATCTAGTGTGAACATCTCAATTTGACCATGTCAAACAAATTTTCTCAGTTATTATCACTATTAAATCCTCTTACAGTGAATAAGTTAATCATATGATCTGATTTTATAACATTCTTCAGGGTGGAAGCTATCATATTTTAAGTTTTGCCATTCTTTGCCATTTTGTAATAATTTTTGTGTTATTTGGTTTTAATTGTTTATTTATAAATGTATTTTAATTATCTGAAGTCTTTAACTTCCACTGTTCAGGGTTGTTGCATTATGGATTTAGAACATCTATTTTTAATAATACTTATGAAATGCTATGATTTTGTAACCCCTCCCCTAAAATCTTAATTACATGGACAGAGTAATAGGGTCCTCTACAGCCTTGATTGATTGCAGCAAAGGAAAAAGCATACGTGCATATTAAGTTGCTTAGATTTTGCCAAGATACATTGGTAATGAGTTATCTTTTCACCCTCAGGGACCTGGGATTGAATATTTATTAGATTAAACAGTAAAGTATGTTAGGTAACTTCATCTTGATCTCTAGGGGACATTTGTCTGCATCACAGAATCCTTACATTTATTTTACTCTGTTCATTAGAGACCTCTGGGCAGGGGAGGCGGGCAGGTGAGGCACATCACTAGCTCCCTGTTTGCACCCCTGCTTGGTGGGAAATGGTTAATTATCACTTACTATGGACAAGGAAATGTGTTTCAGTGCCACCTCCTGACTTTAAATTAAAAGATAATTGAAGCCCCTTGTCTGTTTTTAAAAGATCATTCTCACTGGTGCAAGTCTCGACAGCACAATTTTTGCCTGACAACCCCCCATTGGCTTTAAGTGGGGCCTGTTGAGGCGGTCATGGTGCTGCAGCAACCAGAAGCTGCAGGAAGGTGGTTTTTTTGCTTTCAGGAAAACATAATTTCAGTGATTCAATCTGCAGGGGAGAAGTGTTACAGAAAATTGGGTGACAGGGGAGGCTCCATCTGATAAAAGTCAACAAGGCTGAAATTTGGTGAAGAAGATAACAGTGCTTCACAGTTTGAAAACAGAGAAGTTTAGTGCGTAAAGAAAGAATTACCATATGGAAACATCCATAACTACTGCTTAAAATATTGTTAAGACTTTCTGGTGGGCAGAGGAGACTTCGGATGGTGCAATCACAATGTCTTGAGGCACAAATACTGCAAATCAAACTGCAGTGAAAAATCCTCCTTTGAAATCTGTGCTGGCTGTGCAGAAGCCAGGGGACGTGGGGACAGTGTATTTGGAGCCGATGTTTTCGGTCGTCCTCCCCTGGCAGCAGGCTTGCTCGACTGCATTTAGAGAGAAAAATGGGGCAGTCAGAAAATACCTCACGAGAGGCTGCTGGAGAGAAGTGTCTTATGTTGTGGCAGTTGTCAGCATTTGTCTGTTACGTTTCAGGAACAAAAGCGTATCCTGGAAATGGGAATCACGGGACCTGAGGGACATGCCCTGAGCAGACCCGAGGAGGTAAGAGACTTCACTCGTTTTGTAGCTCATGGAAATATTTTTTCTGTTGGGTACATAATACCCGGGCTCGGCTTCGGCCATGTGCAGCTGACAGGCAGGCATGTGGGGGAAGGTGGCAAGCTGTTTGTCCTGGGTCCTCTTCCAGTGTTATTCGAAGTTTAAAGGAGTGAGTCAGGCAGCAGCATGTAGCTGGGATGAGAGAGGGGAGGCTACCCGTGTGCCCAGGGCTCCCAGCTCCTTCTCACCACCTTGCCTGGAGGAGTGGGCCTGCTGGGTTGCAGAATGTCTCTCTTTTCCTGGTCAAGTTTTTCTAGCACTTTGCAATAATCTTGGATTCCTCCTGTGACTCCCTGTTTGAAGTGCACAGCTCTGGCCAAGAACGTTGTTACCTGCAGAATGCCCCAGTTCTACAGCACAAGCGTGCAAACATTTTTGATCCTTGTGATTCGATATTCAGCTACAAATATCAGAATGAATTTTATTTCCTTGTATTTACTAACCCCACTTTAGTTGAAATCTTGCTCAGGATTGTGACCTCTAGTGTTGGACATGAGATATGAGTCAAGAAGTCAGTAGCAACCTGTGGGTTAGGATTTGGAGATACTCTCCCTTGATTAATTAATGTGTTTTGGCTGAAAAATCCTTCTATAAGATGTGTGTGTGTTCACCCAGACCATATAGATATGTGTTCCCACATATGAATCCACACTTATGTCTGCAGATGCATTTGTAGAAATGCAAATATGTGAAAATGTGAGGATACTTCAAGGCAGTTCAGTTTATGCAATTCTCCTTATAATAAAACCAGCCTCTTGCAAAGATCAGCCCACACATCTGGAAAGCTTTTTTTCTTTTCTTTTTTTTTTATAAGAATAAAAAAGTGGAGATATGTGAATGTCTCCTAATGTACACAATTCAGACAGTTAATGGCATGATCGGGGGCAGTAGTGGGAAGTGACTGCTTTCCTTGAAGATTAAAGAGACAAGGCCTTAGGGATTTGAGGCTAAACTCAAAGAGATTGTTGTGGTTTGCAGATCTTTATATAACCTCTCCCTCAGGCAAAAGGAATGAAGCTAATTGGTTTCATTCTTCTATTGAACTGTTTATGTACTTTTTCATTTTTAAGTTTAACTTCCACCTAAATCGTTCTAAAAGAATTAAGTCTTTTCCTTTTAATGAGAACAAGGGCCTAAGGAAAATCTGCCTTTGCAGTTTCCGCAAAGGAATTTTGCATCTTTCTGACTACGATATCCGACTGCCTAAGTCCTAGTGCTGAGGTACCAGGCTCCTGCTTTTCTTTCTCAGCCTTATGTGAGTGCCTCTGCGAGCTTGGGGGGAACCCTGCAGTGACAGTGTTGGAAATGAACACTCTGATTTTCAGCCAGAATGTTTTACAAAACTATGACGAATTAAGCCTTGTGTTCTCCAAGAGGTTGCATTACTGAGTCTTTCCAGCACAACATTTGGAGAGAGTTTGCATTGTCATGCCAGTATTTTCGGTCATGACAGATTCTTAGATATCCCAATGCTGACACCGTGAGTCTGTCTGGGAAGGAGGGATAAACCAGTGGCTGTGGGGGGGAGTCTCTGCTGGAAGCTCCTCCACCTGTGGGCAAATGCTTGGCATCTCCCTCCCACATGGCTCCATGTGAGGAGATTGCCATTACCCCTGCTTAAGAGGGCACTTACAGGGGGATGTTCACAAGGTTTTTGTGGATTATGGGACAACTTTGATCCACAATGTGAGGCTTGGTGCTCAGTGGGAACACGCTGCGTGGAGCAAGGCCTCGTGCCTCCTCCGACAGGAGCAGAAGCTGCGGGCAGATTTACCCTCATGTGAAGTGCCTGAGAGCAGGCATAACTCAGGAATAGCCAGAATTGACCCTTGGAGAATTGTTGCGAAACAGTGAGAGATCTGTCTCATTCCTCCACTCAGTTTTTCATTCTCTGTGTTAACCTTTTTCCTCCTTTCTTTCCCAGCTGGAAGCAGAAGCGGTTTTCCGTGCCATCACCATTGCTAGTCGAATAAACTGCCCAGTGTATATCACCAAAGTGATGAGTAAGAGTGCAGCTGACATCATCGCTCTGGCTAGAAAGAAAGGTGAGAAACTACCTTTTTTCTCTCAAACTTGCATTTTGTGTTGAATAAAAACTCAGAGAAACAAAACAAAAACAAACCTGATGCTTACCTGCTACCACAGAATGGTAAGCAACCAGCACAGACACTAAATGTTTAGGACTGAGAAAAGAAAACTGAAGGGAGCCCCTTCCCCTTTGCTCAGCTGAGTAACTCACCCCACATATAAACAAACTCCCACCTTTCGAAGATTGTGTTGTCACTCTTTCGCCTGTGTTTCCTGTCACCTATAAATTAGACTCTTTCTCTGCTCGTGGGAGGGAGGTGTGCACTGCTGGCAAGGCCTACCACTTGCTTTTAAGGTATTTGATGGTATTAAGGGTGACTTCCACATTACAGTGTCTTAGGCAGTGAGGCTGGTGTAGGAGGTTGCTTGGTTCCTTGTTGCTAGAAACTGATCCCATCAGATGTGCCACTGGGGTCCGTGCTGTGCTCTGGGTCTTTGGAGTGGTCCAGGTTAAAAGTAACCCAAAAGGGGATTGTGAGCCTGGATGCAGCAATGTTTTAAGGTCACTTTGCTTGCAGGAACTAGTGTATTGTAGAAACAGCACCAGAGATGCTGCCTCTCAAACGCACAGGTAGACACAGCCCTAGGAGGTCTGCACCTTGCGGACAGTGGGACAAGATGCAGCCTGAGCTCAGGGCCAGGTAGGAGGGGTTGCATTCCCTCTTGGGTTGAAAACCTTTGCCCTTTCGTAACCAAGCTTTCTTTTCTAGTCCTCACTTTCTGCCTCAAACTGTACATTATTGGAAATTCTTCTCCACAGCTCCGTTTTTCCCCCCTCGGCCTCCTGGATTGCCATTTTGTCTCACTCTGCTTGCTTTCTTTTCTCACTTTCTTGTTGCATTTTTTCCTGTTGGTCATTTCCACAGTTCCCTTCCTCTTCTTCTATCTGACCCCATTTAAAAAGATTGTGAAGGTCAAAGTTAGGCTAAAAAGAACTGATTCATACTATTTTCATCTTTTTCTGAAATGTAATTTCCCATGTGTTTCATTTGAGAAAGGAGGCTGCAGAGGGAGAAGTCAGATCTGTGCTGCTGGCCAGTGTTACAGAGCGAAAACGTTGTCCCCAGTGACAAATGTTCTGGGGGTCGCTTTTGAGCCATGTGGAAAAAGGCAGAGAGAAAATTCTCTCCTTGATTTTTGTATCCTTAGCGACCTGAAGCGCCTGACAGAGGTGCTGAGGTCCTCTGTGCTCCTGTCTGCTGGTGCTGGGCTCAGCCTGAGAGCAGTAGGACGATATGTCCACTGGAGCCCTCCTCTCTGCCCACCTCCTTTTCATGTTGAAGCAGAGCAATAGTCAGAACATGGCTGTGATTAAGACAGTGCAAATTACAAACAGGTCTGAACTGTCTGTTTTTTGTTTAGAAAGAGAACTTTGTGCTGATCAAAAGCGTGTATAGTTCAGAAGGCCTCCTGAAATTTTTTTTTCATCATGCAGAAAAAGCCAGGGCTGCTTCATTTTTGAGGAGCTGTGCTGACCACGTAGCAATGCATAAATATACACAGCTACATGCAGTAAGTAGAATAATGTGATGTAAAGAGAGTGGATTTTAATCACTTCATATATATCCTTACTTTCCTCAAGGTCCCCTTGTTTTTGGAGAGCCAATCACTGCCAGCTTGGGGACAGATGGAACACATTATTGGAGCAAAAACTGGGCCAAAGCTGCAGCTTTTGTGACCTCGCCACCTCTGAGCCCTGATCCTACCACTCCAGATCACTTAAATTCTCTCTTAGCATGGTAAGGCCTTTCTTTCTTCACAGGTTGATAGCCGGGCGGGTGCAAAGCCACATGGTTTGAAGTTTCCAGGGATCAACCCAGTTTTCTTTAAAAGAGTAGTTTCCTTTGGTATCTCATACATGAAATGGCAGAGAGGCAAGCAAGGCTAGTCATGTGCCTGGTGTTAGTCCACCCATCAGGTGAGCAGGCCTAGACCTTCTGTGTTCTTGGTTAGCATGCTCAAGATCCACGTGTTGGTTACTCCAGGATGACTCTTCTACTTGCCGCATTTCAAGTGATTGCTGTCTGCACAAGATAAGCAGTCTTTGGGGCTTTGAGCAAGCTTTCTCTCTGCTTCTATTTCTCCAGTCAAATTTTTAATATATAATTGGATAGCACTTAGTCTGGAGTAAGTAATAGCCAGGTGGGTAAAGTCCTATCTGTGAGGGCGGACTCAGTTTGAAGTCTCAGGTCATATCTAGGAAACACAGCAAGGGAAATCATATTGGTTCCATTGCAGAGGTTCCTGGAACTGTAAAACCTTTCCTGAGGCTGTTTTGGTCAAAGCTGCTGAGGGGATGTAAGCTGTGAGCACTTCGGAAAATTAGTTTGTTCTAAACTAATCTGTAGGCATTTGCAGTAAGGGTTAGTGATGTTAACATAATGAAAACCTCTGACTTCTTGGTAGCTTGCCTTCACTGGGAAGTGCCAAAACTGTCTTAGCTGACCTCTCTCCAGTTCTTACAGGCTTGTTTTTGCTTTTAGCTTTCTATGTGTCTTAATAGTTTTCAGACTCCTCAGTCAGGAAGTAAGCAAAGATGCATGGTACGTATAGAGAAGGCACATGAGGTATGAGAAAGAGGCCAGAATGGATTACAGAAGAGATTATTAGGGAATCAGGTGGACACAGGCTGGTGATCTGAGGCCATCACTTGACATGATAGGGGTAAAACTGTGCTGCCTGTCCTCAGACTGGCAGTGAGAATAGAGGGATGGAAAGACAGCAGAATGACAAGCATCTTCCTGATACAGAACACATGTGCAATACCTTACCAGCATGCTGGAACTGTAGACCCACTTCTGAAAGTGTTTCCTGCTTTTAACTTTTTTAGAGTCTTCTCTAGTGGAAGAGGAAGACCAGTTGTTTTAAACTGGTAAAGAAATTCCCATTTCAAATCCAAGCAGGATAGGTTGCGTGCACCAAAGTGAGCCTCTCAGCTTTCCTCTCAGACTTAACACCAGTGGGGAACATGCATCTTGCCTGCTGCCTCCTGTTTCCAGGAGTTCCTCTGCTGTAGAACAAGGAGTTTATTTACCCTAAAAATGATACACTGGTCTTCTGAGTGGGCAGGCTGTATGGCAGCCAGTGGCTGTTTCTAGTAATCTAGCTCTGAAAAATGTGCATTTCTGGTTAGAATGGGTGGGAATTTGTTCTGTTGCGAAGGACTTGTGGCAGAAATAATATTCTGTAAGTGAATTTTCTGTTCTTTAAAATAAAGGCAAAGAAGAAAAAATGTATTTTCTGGTCTGACCCAGAACGATCAACAGTATAGAGAGTCCTGTTCATTATGCAAGGGCAAGGCTCTTACCCAGCACATGGGAATGTTTGGCTTTTTACACTAACAGAAACAGCTGTAAGTTTTCAAAAAAAAAAAAAAAAAGGAAATCCCAAAATAATATTATCGGGGTCAAAAGAGATCAGTTAAAATAACAGTGATGACAGTGATAATGACAGTTTTTAAAACTAACATTAGAAGGACAATCTGAGGAGTCGGAGAAATTTTCTTCATCCTCCAAACATCCAAAATGGCTTTTTTTCTCCTAGTGGCTTCAATCCCTAGATCTCAAATGACAGCAGCTTAGCCTGCTTTTCATTTTAATACTTTAAATCTACATATGAAACCAAAAGTCGAACAGTATATAGTATAACTCTGCAAAGCATTTGTGGAGAATTTTGTGTAAGGATGGTAGTAAAGAAAATATTTCACTTATCTGTGGCACTGGTTGTCAATATTTTACAATAATTAAGGAGTGCTCACAGCATTATTGCCATGCAAGTGGGCATACTTGTTCTGTTTTCCACAGAAAATGTTCATTTTTTCGCTAAAAAGCTGATTGTATGAAAATCCTGCATATCTCATGGGGCTTGCAGTTTGGATTTGCTTCGTGGATTTTTGCATCCCGGTTTCATCTGTGGGCCATGCACTTCAGGTTTTTATCTCCTGTAGTGTATTGCTATGTTATTGCTGCCATCTTCTCTTAACTAAGGATGTGAGATCTTGGTGCTATGTCACACATAATGTGTCTTAATGTGTCTTTTTCTTTGTAGGACTGTTCAGTTAGACAAGTCTAGAGCATATGTACGACTTGCATTTTCTTTCTTGCATTTCTTAGTTTGGAAGATTATCTGATAAGAATATTCTCACACTTCTGTTTTTTTTCAGTAAATATTTTTGTTTCAGAAGATCAGGCTTTAATTTGCTAGAAAGTAGTACATAGAATATTCTTCTGAGAATTGCAAGGAAAATATATGTGCAGAGGAGAAATGCAGGGAAGCAAGCTTGATGCTCATTACTTTGCATTGCAAAATTTGCTGTTGTGTTTCAACATGTTTATGAAGTTATCTTGAAAATGGCAAGCATTTCGTACAAGCTTTTGATCATTTCCTTAATCCTCTAATAATCTTTTGTCCTGGTGACTGGGTTTGTGCCTGATCTCTGTTGATAAGCAGTCTTAAACCCACGGGGACTATAATCTGGGAATTTAGGGTGTTCCTGGGGGAAAGTGGATATGTCCGATACCGTTGTTGGTCTTCAGTAATATGTAGCTGACATTAAAGGCTGTTGACATGATTTAGGGGCCACACCACTGATGTGGAGACTTGATGGGACCATTCACAACTAGTGTGTGAGCAGGGTGCCTTCGTGACGTGTGGTCTAAACCTTGTGTGCGCTAACTCCACAGTGGGGACCTGCAGGTGACGGGAAGTGGACACTGCCCATATAGCACTGCCCAGAAAGCCATTGGAAAGGACAACTTCACTATGATTCCCGAAGGTGTCAATGGAATTGAGGAAAGAATGACTGTTGTCTGGGACAAGGCTGTAGTAAGTAATCTCCTACTTTTATGGACTAAAAAAAAAAAATGACTGGTGGCAGAATGCTGAAAGCCAAGAGACTTTTGGCCATGAGTGACTTCCTAATATAAAATAGATGTTCTGAGAAACCCCAGAGAGCGCGCTGCTGTGAGATGAATTGCTTATTGCACCAGTCTGCTCCGGTCGTATGAGCTCTGGGCCGTGTTTCGCTTTGACAGTGCAACACCAACGTGCTCTATGAGACGGGAGGCTTAGCAGACTGCAGCTGTGTAACTCTGCAGTTGTGTCAGAGCGAATGCTCCTCACAGGCGTGGGATCAGAAGCCTTTAGTGGTTTTGAAGTGGACCCCATATAAACCTGATGAATGGATTTTTTGAATTTGGGAAGCGTCGCATTGTTTTTGAGGAATTGCAAATGGATGGCAGCTGAGCCCGAGGCTAGATTATAAAATGCTTTGAAGAAGAACATTGTATCTAAATCATAATGACATATTTTGCTGTAGGGTTCTGGTAGAAGTTAGCAATTTTTTGATGGTTCCATGGATCCTAATACATAGTGATATTCTCCTTTTCTTGTGCATTTTCTCATACACATGGTTGTCACACACACACACACACACACACACACACACACTCATTACATTGCATTGCACTGCACTGGAGAGCGTGTTGCAGACTGGAAAGTGGTAATATTTACAATGCTCTCCTGAGCACCTCTCCTAGACTGTTTAATAACCTCTTTCTTCAGGGACCACTATAGAGCTTCCAAGCACAGAAGCAGCTTCACGTATCTGCTAGGTAGAAGCAAAGCAAAGAGCAATTGAAATCCAGCCAGTTGGGGATATTTCTTTTGTTTACTCCTCAAAAGAGAAAAATCTATAGCAAAGGTTGCAAAATGGGATTTTTGGGTGGTAATATTCAGTTCCATACCATTAGAAAATTTGTATTTTGGGCATCTTCTGTTTTGCCAGGCAGGAAATAGGTGTTTATTTAACAGTGAAAAGCTTGGCACTCATGTTCTTCCATGGAATATCGCTCTCATTTGTTACTGAGGAAGACCCCAAAACACCGAAAATGAACAGGCTGCTGTGTACAGCTCTTACTAAACCATCACAGACTGTATAAAAAGACTCCGAACATATTTTAGACTTGATCTTTTAATTCATCTAGTAATGCCTGTGTATTTTTCTCTGTTTTAAAATGATTAAAATAGGTAAGTAGGTAATTACTTAGGCACATAGCATTCTTATGTGCCAGTACGTACAGTGAAGGAACTCTAGATTAAACTGAGGAACTTGGTGGTATTATCTGGATTAAAGGTTTTTTTTAATCATTTCTTTGGGATGCTTGAAATAATTCACATCTTTGAAACTCCCGAGTAGTGTGTCCTAGATAAACTCCTGCTGATAAAACCTTTATTTCAGGCAACAGCACCAAATACATGCATTAAAAATCTTCCCATATTTCCGCAGTCTTTCATGACTCTGAACAGCCCATCTCATTTTGTAAGCATGTTTTGATGTTTTACTCTGGTCAAATTTTTTTAGGCCACGGGTAAGATGGATGAGAGCCAATTTGTAGCTGTCACCAGCACCAATGCTGCCAAAATCTTTAATCTGTATCCAAGAAAAGGCCGGATTGCTGTGGGATCAGATGCTGATGTTGTTATCTGGGATCCTGATAAGGTGAAGACTATAACAGCCAAAAGTCATAAATCGGTAAGAAGAAATAGAAAACCAGCATCAAAAAAAAAAAAAAAAAAAAAAAAAGAGATGACACTATTGCTTTTGAAATGTTGATCTAAATCATATGAAGTCCAAATGCCTGGATATAGTGGAGCTCCTTCCTGCTTTTCTGAAATGTGTAAATGTTCTTCCAAAGATGAAATCTTGCTGTGGTGCTCCTGGCCCAGGCAGGGCTCACTGTCTGCACATGCCATTGCCCCATGTTTTGTGCTTGTGCCAAGTCTGTAACAGGTGAGAATCAGCAGGTCTGCAGCTAAGCTTAATAAAGCTGTGCATATAAATTCAAAGCCAGCTCACTCTCCTTTTACTTATCTGAAAAGCACCTAATATTGTAATTTTTATGATTAAATCAACAACACTCTAATCTATGATGATTAAATATTTTGATAACCTAGCTCTAGTCAGCTTCCTGGCTGGGATTTTCTATTTAATTCCAAAGCTTTGAAGTGCATTTCTCTGCCCTTAGCACAGTGCACCAGTGACTCACAGTCGCTTTGATTTTGACTGTGATAGGTCTTACATGTTTATCTTTTGTGTTATCTATCTCAGAGTTGTTTTATTATTGCTCAGTGCTTTGGGCTTTTGCACTGGGGAATTCTTCCAGAAATTTTCATTGCAGATTGAGCAATACAGTTGATATTAAAGAGACATGAGTCTTCAAAAATTAAGTTTATATAATTCAATATTTATTTCTCTATCTTGAGATGTCTCAACATTTTCTAGAAGGAGCTGAACACTTTCCCTTGGACAGTTGCTCTCATTTTGTACTGAACTTGCAGTGTGTGTGTTGGTTGATCCTCAGGCTGTCGAATACAACATCTTTGAAGGAATGGAGTGCCACGGTGCCCCACTCGTGGTCATAAGTCAAGGGAAGATTGTATTTGAAGATGGAAATCTGCATGTAAATAAGGGAATGGGCCGCTTCATCCCTCGCAAGCCTTTCCCTGAATATCTTTACCAGCGGATCAAAATCAGGAATAAGGTAGTGACAGACATAATTTGATCTTCTTTCTAGCCATACCATCTTGGCACCACATTCCCAAATGTTTTCATTATTATTTTAGTAACGGGAGCACATATTATACAAACTATATGTGGTGTCAAAACGACATCAAAAGGCCACAGACGTGTTCCTCTGGCTGTGTGAATTCCTGTAGCCCCCCTGTGAATTCCAGTGGGATGTGACAGAGAGCTGTCTGTTGGGAATCTGGCCTTATGTCCAGCTGTAGAGCTGTGCAGAGAGGTGGGAAAGTGATAAAATTTACTTTTAACTGAAAATTAGCAAAAATATAAAGCCTGTTTGTAGGAAGGGTTGGCCAAAGGAAAAGTAGCTTTTAAGTTATTGCTAGGTTTTGTATGCTGCATAGTAGAAAAGAAGAAAAAAACTATAAGAAGTCAGAGATAGTGATTGTATTTGGCTTCTTGTGAGTTTTGAGCAGTTATAGTGTGCATTTACTATAGCAGCATGAAAAATTAAGAGCTCAGAAAAGCCTTTCTCTTGTGTTTGACCCTGTGTGTGCAGGAGGTTGGACTAGATGATCTCTAGAGGTCCCTTCCAACCTTAAGCATTCTATGATTCCATGCTTCTATGACCAAGATTAGGGCACAGTCAGATCCGTTGTTGAGTTATAATCTGTGCTCCTCGACTGAAAACCAGTTGCCTTGGCACTAGTTTAGTCTTGTTTGGGAATGCCTTTTTGGTACTCAGCAAGAAAGTTAATGTGTAAAGTATATAATAAAGGCAGATTGACAGGAACATACTACTTAAAACATGTATAATTGCTTATAAGGACAACAGCTGAAATTAGGCCTACAAATAGGTTGATAGGTTTTATGTTCATCATTGTTTTATAAAAAATATTTGAAGTAGTGAGATACAAAAATTCTGCTCTTCCAAGGACAAAAAGCCTTATAAAAATAATAAATTCATTACTTTTTTTTTACATTTTCACTTAGATGACAGATTCTTCAAAATATGGGCCTTGCCTTCACACCTACATCTCAAGGGTTCAGAACTTGGAAGGGTTACATAAAGGAGAACGACAATGTTATTTAAATAGTGAAGACAGGAAGACAGCACCTTAAAAACAATTATCGAAATGACAAATATCAAGTTTTGTGCTGGCCAGAAAACTTGTGGCTTGCAAGTGCACCTGGATTTTGGGAGGGACCTTCGATTTTAGGAAAAGGTCTGCAAAGGCATGTAGGAAGGTACTAGTATTTTTGTTCCTGGAGCTCCCTCTGCTGCCTTGCTGAAGGAAGTGAGATTTTTTTTCATGCCTCTGTTTCTTTCCTCACTGCCAAATTTTGTTGATTGAAAAAATATTAAAAAATCAATCAATCAAACAAAAAAGTGATAGTCCTATCAGGGACCATATCTCATGTGAACATCAGTGCACAAGAAAGGGATATGAAATGAGGGTCTGCAAAGCTGTAAGTAGAGCACAGGAGAACACAGTAATTGGGACAGCAGGATAAACCAGAGCTTTAGTGGATCCCTGGTGGATTTAGATTCACTGCTGTGATCGGCAGCTGCCTCCGTGTGGGCCCTGGCTTTGATTCATCCCTGCCTGGGATGTCTCCTGAGCCTGATGCCTTGCTCCAGGGGCCAAGGAAAGTGCTCTGATTTCTGTAAGTGCTGCATTGCCCCCCGCCATGAATAGAGTGTCCTTCCAACACAGCATTTCGTTGTCGCTGTTAATATGTAGGATAAATGATTTTGAAATAATTTCCTTGTAAGCTTTAGATTTTTTTTTCTTTTGGCTGGGATTTGGATTATACAGTTAAACCTCTTCAGACTCACGCAGAAAAAAAATGGGACTGTTTTTAAAAATATTGCTTACTAGGCCAGTGAGACTGTTGTGATTGCCTTTTCTCACAGTCCTTATAGCAATTACACAGGGAGAAAATCTAGAGACCTCAAGCTGCAATAAGAGCTCAGGTGGCAGATACTCCTACTGACAAATAATGTAGAGATGGGCCCCATCCCACAGTCTCCCATATATATGTATATTTTAATTCATGAAAGCAATGGCAAGTTTTGAAATTTAATTAAGAAAATTTTCTACTACTTTTAATTGAGTTCTAGTGGAGATAATGGGATATTTGAAGAGGCAGAAGAAAGAATAAAGCTAGGAGGGAAATTTTCACAATTACTGTAGTGGACATTCGTCTTGCAACAGCCAAAATGGGATTCAGCAACTAAGGAGGGTCTAGACACTATATTAGCTATAACCAGTTGCCCATAGCACCCTCTGAATGGAGATCAAAAAGGTGGCAGTGATTGATTTTACCTAGAATAGCCATCCTAAGTCAGGTCTACTGCTCTTTTGAGATGATATTTTTCCCCGTGGACTGAGCAGGAAGTGTCATATCGTTCGCTTAGTTTTAGATGTCTGGAGTTTGGAGAGAGGAAACTCAGGCCTGTTGCTATTTTCCTTTTTTTTTTTTTTTGAGGGCATCACAAGAGCTAATGTTTGGAGCTGCTTTCTCGCTTGCTCTTTTGAAGTGTAATCTCTGCATTGCCTGGTGAATGGGCAGAGTCGGCCCCACTCGTAGTGGAGTGCGGAAAACACAAATTCCCGCCTCCTGCTTTGGCTCCAGCAGCCACACAACAGCAGGGCACCTCCTTGGATCAGTAGTTTTTATGAACAGTGCTAAAAACAGGAAACCGAATAGTTGATATAGAGGAGTTGGAGGGATTTTCCTTATATAAGTAACGTAAAATGTATCTCTATTTATAAACGGAAGAGGCTTCATAAACTCACTCAATATAAAGCAGACTGTAGCTGTGATGAGAATGCATGTGTTTGTAATTCAGCTAGTGCAGAATATTGCTCTGTGCTTGGCTGCCTTGGTTTATAGGTGGAAATATCCATGGGCAGCTTTAGGAGAGCATGCAGCCAGTGTGTTTTTATTCTCCTCTTGACCTAGGTGGGAGGACTGCAAGGAGTCTCCAGAGGAATGTACGACGGGCCTGTGTACGAAATCCCAGCCACGCCAAAATACGCAACTCCGGCACCCTCAACCAAATCCTCCCCTGCCAAAAACCAGCCCCCACCAATCAGAAACCTCCATCAGTCCAATTTTAGCTTATCAGGTAAGTTGCCTGACTTAGTAGACATGTCTCAAAAACCTTAAATTCAGGTTAAAAAAACCCTCAGAAGCACTGTAAATCAGTCAGATTTACTGTCCCCATGGATTTAGTGAGGACAGGAATTTCTAAATTAATAAGGCAGGTTTGAAGACTCCACTCTGCACATATTCAAAGAGAGAAGAAAATTTCTTTTATTTGTGGTAATGGGTTCTCAGTCAGAGGTTTGGCTCAAGACAAACCAGCTGCTACTGATATTACGAAAGAGGAGTTGGAACTAGCCAGATCAAATCTCTCTGCTGATGTGTGTTTTTCCTTTTCATAGCTTTGTTTCCTCAAATCCTCTTGTTACAGGAGCTCAAATAGACGACAACAACCCACGCCGTACTGGACACCGCATCGTTGCACCTCCTGGTGGCCGCTCTAATATTACCAGTCTTGGCTGAAAATGCAGATGGACAGAAACACAAGGATGAAGGATCATGGGAATAATGTCTATTCCCTTCAGTGTCCACGTTACTGAACCCACAGTTTTATTTGGTACTAATGGAAATAAAAATGAAATGTCTTTTTTTTTTTTGTATAGGAAGAGGTGATAATAGTGTGGTGTGTTTGCTTGGAACTACTTGCCTCACAATTGTGCTTTCATGCCATAGTCACCTTAAAGCATGGTGCTTCCATTGCCCCTTTAGTGACTACAGGTTTTAGCTTTGTCTTGTAACTGGATGATGGTTCCTTTTCACCCGTTAGCTGTATTAGAGTAGTTAATGCATGTTACTGAGTTATTTATGCAAGTTACATACTGTGAGTGAGCCCCCTTAGAACACATTGCCAACAATTGACTAGACACAATGCCAAGATTAATGTCCATATTTGACAAATGCCACTGGACTACTTATGGAGGAAGAAAATGGCCATCTTGAAAGTATGCAGTAGAGTAATATAGACAGCTTCTGTTTTTATCTTTAATTTATTATAAACCCAAAAAGCACTTCTCTCAGGCACAGAAAATCATCAGGACACCATAACAAGTGGTCTCTGTAGCACCCGTCCATATCCACCCAGTACATTCCGAGTTGGTGTCTTTGTTGTTTCCATTTTAGACAGAGCCATAATTTCTACATAGCAATGCCATTGCCACCCTGCAGGGATATCTCCACCTGGGCAGTAGTGCTCTCCTTCTGCATGAGTTTTTGGTACTTACAAATAATCCAAGTTGCCGTCGGATTTTTAAGGTTTTTTGTACAAAGTTTTTCCTTTGTAATCACATGCATTTTTACTTACTCTACCGTATCAGATCTACTAGTCGTGGTTCTATTTCTGAATTCGAAGCTTGTGAAATAAATGAAATGAATTGATGGTAAGCGTCTTCCTCTGCTTTCCAGTGCTCTTGCTCAGTGGTTGAAAATTTAGCATGCAGGTACTCACTCACGAGAAAGTGTATTTCAGACTGACACCACATGAAGGAATGAAGCTCCTTAGATCACAGGGGTGTTAATATACCTATCTGCACCTTCATGCATGCCATAGTCTAGCTCAGAATAAAGAAACACACTCATCATGTGGCATTGCACTCCCTTGATTTTGGCTGCATGACATCTAAACTCTCTGCCAAGACCTTCCAGTATCCATCTAATTTGCTTGAAATGGAGCTTACCGCCACCCTCCTCATCTTTAGTACACACAAGTGCCAACTAGAAAGCTGAGAACCAGTATGTGATGCTCCAGATTGACCTAAGATGTACTCCACTTAGTGTTGTTTTTTTGGGGCCCATCTTGGAGGGTTTTTGGCTGAGCTGAGCTGAGATGGAGCTGGGATGGCGTTCATCATGAACAAGACGCAATGAAGGAAGGGTGCGAGAAGGTGGACTGCATTATCTCCTTTGGTGAGAATAAAGGAAATTTTCGTTTTCCCTATTTTTTTTCCATTCTCTATCTGCAGAGAAGAAACTTTTTCTATCCCTGCTTACTTGCCTGTGTTGCAGATGTGGGAAGTGTGGGCTACACTGGAGGGCAGTGTGCTAAGAAATTAAGTCAGCAATTGCAGGCTCCTGTTGGCCTTCTACTGCTTTGCCCTTGCCTGTGCTACACAGCTGCACGGGGAAAAGTCCTGCAGCAGAGCCACACGTCAGCAGGGATTCGTGTCCAGGGTTTGTACTTGACTTCCTAGCACTGATCTGCCCTTCCCATGCAGCAGTAACTCATGGTGGCAGAAGGCACAAGGTGCCACATGGGATGAGATATATACACGTCTTGGAGTAACCGACTTGAATCCTGTCATCTTATTTTGAAGCCAGTATGCTCATCTCCAGCTTTCCTGGGAAAGCAGTAAGTATCCTAGAAAAATCCATTTGCACTAGAATGGTTTGAAAAACTGGCAGCAGAACTGGTTGAGTAACCAGTTTTTTTTTTGCTTTGACATTGATCTGAATCATTGAAGAAATGCTCCAATTCGGGCAAAGGAATTGAATCTGTTTCCAAAATAAAGCTTTTCATTAACAAATTGAAATATTTTGTTTCTGCAACTTACAAAGGGGAAAGAGAGAGGGAGAAAAAAGGGGGAAGATGGAAAAGGGAAGGAGGAGAAAAAAAGCACAAAAAAGAACTTGGACCAGGATACATGAAGGGGAGAGAAGAGAGACTGGTGGTGATTTCAGTCTCAGGTGTTATTCAGCTTATGGTATCCCTGATTTGGATTATCTGCACCTGAGATGGAGTCAATTCCCCT